CGCGATTTGGGCACAGGTTGTCCATACACCTCTTGATCAATATGGGACTGCTGCGATGCAGTTTCATACCACCATGCAGCAACAACAAACAGCCATTCAAGCACAAGTTCAGGCCACTGCTACTGCCATAGCAACCAATGGCGTAGCTATTGCTTCGGCCAATGCTGTTGGTGGTGCAGCCGCGGCACCAGTGGTTGATCCATCTGTATACTGGGCTCAGTGGCAGAACTGGAATACCAATCTGGCTAGTTATGGAAATGTTTTGTGGAATGCCGGCTGTTTGTCTACTTACTGGGACAACGATAGCAATTATTATAATGCAATGATTGCTCTGCAGCAAAATCTCGCACTTCAGGTAACTTTAAACTCGAAGGGTTGTGAGTTACTATTCTAAATATTAACATGTAAGCCCATTATAGAATCAGGCTATTTGGAATAATATAGCCGCTGCTAATCAGCAAGCTGCAGCACATGCCAATGCGCTGTATCTACAGACTGCAACCCAAAATGCGCTGACAACATTCAATTCGGCAGCATGCCAGATTAATACAGCGTATGGAGCACAGTTGGGATGGAATAGTGTTTCGGGAACTTCATGGAACTGTTGAGGCTTGTATTGAACTGAATTCCTTGGCATATCATCCAATATGCAGAATGATTAAATAAAGTTTGAAGTTGGTTCAGATCTTGTCGATATATTATCATGACATTGGCTGAGCGGTAAGTAGTGTTGGCTAGAATGATAGTATTCAGCCATTGCTACGTGTAAATGGTTTGTATTAACGATGCTCATGCTGCATTCGCCTCAAGGTTTGCATTGATTGAAAGGGATAGAGCTGTTGCTGCCAAGACTCGAGCAGTTCATCCATCATCCTCTACAACTGTTCAGAAAAGACTTGAGCCATCCACTTTTAACAAAAGACTTGATGCAAAGACTGCTGCAACTCTCTTGAAGCAGCAACAACAGACTGGTCATAAAATGTCCAATTCTGCTGCCAGTATGATGACCAAGCAAAGTAATGGTCGTACTAAAGCATCCAAGACCATTTCAGTGGTCAAACCCCTTGTAAAGCGTCTTGGACCCAAACCAGGTCCAATTGAGAATCGTCTTGGCAAGCGGCTTATTGACCGGTTAGGTGATAAACCCACTGCTGCTGGAAAGACTAAAGCTGTATTACGCTCCAAGAAAGCAGGAAAGGTATCCAAGACTATAGTATCCAACTCGACTCCTAAAAGCAAGACTCGAGGATGTGTTGCTAATATTGGCTCATCCAGTTATTCTGCAGCAGATATGATGGATGATGACGATTACAAATTTGGTCAAGCTGCAATATATTAATTCTCGATATTTCAAGATTATAATTAGACTGGTTCATTACTATGGTTGCAGTTGTGGAGTGGATCTCTATTGCAGTGTGGATGGATGCGCAATCATTACTGCACGATAAGCCTTCAACATGCTTCGACTC